AATGACAATAACTACGACGATGATGATGAATACGAAAATGATGATCATGAGCATGATGATGATGGTGCTGCTGATGATGATGCTGATGGTGAGAATGAGGATGATGACGATGGTGGTGGTGGTGATGATGGTGGTGATGATTATGACGATGGCGATGATTATGATGATGGTGAAGATGATGATGTTGATGATGCTGATGCTGATGATGATGCTGGTGATGATGCTGATGATGACGATGATGTTGATGCTGATGATGATGCTGATGATGCTGCTGCTGATGATGATGGTGGTGATGACGATGATGATGAGGATGATGGTGGTGGTGGTGGTGGGGGTGATGATGATGGTGGTGGTGATGACGATGGTAAGTTTCATTGTTTTTGTTATTGATCGGATGATGACGATTGGTGATGATGACGACGACGATGACGATGTCGATGACAACTACGATCATGCTGATGTTGACGGTGATGCTGATGCTGACGGTAATGGTGCGGCGCAATCGGCGGCGCTCCTATGGATTACCTGTCCCTGGTGTCCTCAGGAATGTCGAGGACCAGGGGTAGGAGGAGGAGCAGGCGGAGCGGGAGCGGGAAGAGGGAAGGGAGCAGGAGGCCGAGCGGCAGGGAACGCGTTCCCACCTGGCACTAGCAAATGGAAGGCGCTCGCTTGCGGCCCCACTTGCGGCGACTTGGCGAAAGGTAAACTGCGCGGTCGCGCAGGGGCGGGAGCGGTACAATTTCCAATGGTCGCGGCGAAGACGAATCATGCGCCGCGCTGGCATAGCATTGTCGATGTCATTCATAAGTTGCGCGGCCCTTGGGCGAGGTCGGCCCTTTCTCCCCGCCCTCGCGCGGCCCCGCTGCGGCTGTCGCTCCTCGTGCGATCTTGGCGGACGGGCGGGGTGCTGCTCCCGAGCGGAGTGCGCACAGGGCCTGGGCGTGGGCGACAAGTCGCCCGCTCGCGCGGGCCCCCCGGGGGAGCGGCGAGTGCCCAGAACGCGGCGCGCCGAGGCGGGAGAGCGCCACTTAGCAGGCGGAAGCTGCGCGGCACCCGCGGCGGGAACGACACTCGCGTCCGCGCTGCGCGTCGGCGAAGGGGCGTGCGCCAGGCGTGCGCCGCGCCCAGCCAGGAGTTCCACTCTCGCGATCAAGGGGCGCGGCGCCGAGGCGAGAGCGGCATGTTCTGCCTTTCGCGGGGGATGTGCCCCCAGCCGTGTGATGCTCCAACCGACTTTAGCCTTGACCACCAGAAAGAATTTCGAGCACCCGAAAAATACCGGAACTGGAGGGTTTTCACGGAGCAACATAACCCCCGCCCCACTTTTGCCGCGCTTTCTGCAACATGGACACGATGTTCAGGCTGAAGGCGGAAATGCAGACTTTGCATTTCGTTTGGCAGTTCTGGTGGGCGGTCCCCGTCTCGTTGGCCATCGGCCGGCCAGGTGGCAGAGTAGGAGAAAAAATGAAACGATGAGGGATGCAGGCTGATGATGATGATGATGATGATGACGACGATGACGATGACGATGACGATGACGATGACGATGACGATGACGATGACGATGACGATGACGATGACGATGACGATGATGCTGCTGCTTCTGCTGCTGCTGCTGCTGCTGCTGATGATGATGATGATGATGATGATGATGATGATGATTTTGATGATGCTGATGATGATGATGATGATGATGATGATGATGATGATGATGATGATGATGATGATGATGATGATGATGATGATGATGATGATGATGATGAGGAGGAGGACAGGAGGAGCAGGAGGAGCAGGAGGGAGGAGGGCGGGAGCATGAGGAGGAGGAGGAGGAGGAGGAGGAGGAGGAGGAGGAGGAGGAAGAGGAGGACCACCTTCGCGGCTAGGAGTGACAGGGTGCTCCTTGCAGCTTGCAGCCCTCAAGAGGCATCCCCATGCCCTGCGTCCAGGGCCTCCAGGGGCACGCAGTCGCTCAGGGCCAGTGGAGTTCTGCTGCGCCCATCGTTCCGAAGACAGGGTGGCGGGTTGATCATACCCGTCTTTAATCGCTTCGCTCACTCCGCCGGCCCGTATTTTTCCATCGCAGGCGTTTGCCTGCGCGTTCGTGGCCTCTTGGGGGCCGTTTGGGGGCCTCTTGGAGCCTTTTTTAGGCCCTCTTCGGGGCCTCCTGGGGCCTCCAGGGGGCCTCCTGGGCTCTCTTGGGGGCCTCCTGGGGGCTTCTTGGGGCGGAAGGCTCGAATCGGTCGGTGGTTCGTGTTCCCCCTCTTGGGGCCGTCTTGGGGCTTTCTTGAGCGGTCTTGGGCGCGTCTGGGGCCGTTTTGGGGCTGTCTTGGACCGTCTGGGGGCCCTCTTGGGGGCCTCTTGGGGCGGCCTTGGTGGCTTCTTGGGCCATCCTGGAACGTCGGAAAGCAGAAAAGACGAGAAGGCTAAAAACCGCCAATCAGGAAAATCAATGATTGCTAAGGCCTTACGGCTGGTGCCGCCGACCCTGGAGGTCTCGGCCTTCGACGGAAATGGGAGGGAGAGGGCGGGCCATGGGCCCCGGGAGGGTGGTATTCTGACTCAAGACCCCCCCTGGGACCCCCTTCTGGGACCCCCCCCCTTCGAGTAAACACCGACGTTGCTCAGATTGGTTTCCCCTCCGCGTCGCGGCCACTCCCCTCCCCCGAAGGGAGCCGCCCAGTTGCCCCCCCCCTCCCCCCCCTTGCGCATCTGGGTGCGACCCCCCCCCATCCTTACTTCCAATGATTAAACACCCCCACATCCCCACCTAGCCGGCCGATAGCAACCCCGCCGTCCTAATTATCAGAAATCAACACAAACTCTTTTTTTCTCGCCAGCATGTCGTCGAGTTGCGAAAAGTATAGCAATAATGGGACGGAATGAATATCGCTTGGGCAACCCTAAGCGGGTGGTCGCGTCCTACCTATCAACAAAAACAATACAGCGTCAACGTTTTCCTCGTCAACATGGACTTTCTTGTCGTCGACGCTTCGAAAAGTGTAGTAGGAATTGGACGCGGCGCGCATCGCGCGCGGACGCCTGGCCAACCACCCTACGCGGGACCCCCCGTCCTACCTGTCAAAGAACACCGCAACGTCGACGTATTTCTTGCCAACATGTGTTTTCTCCTCGTCGGCGCTGCGAATCGCGTAGCGGGAATGGGACGCGGCGCACATCGCGCGGGGACGCCTGCTCGTCAACATGGATTTTCTTGTGGTCGACGCTGCGGCCCGTCGGGTTGAGGAGCTGGGCGGGCTGCAAGTCTGAATGCTTCAAGCAAGTGCTTCAGGAGACCCCCAGGAGGGCGAAAAAAGGCGTCCAGGAGGTCCTGGGGGGGGCAACACAAGTATTGATTTGCCTTTGGTGTTTGAAGGATTGTGAGGTTAGCACCTACTTGTGTTGGCAATGTTCCAACCCAGAAGATGTATCCAACAGGCCCTCAGGCGCATGCCAGAAAGCTCCCCGGGCGCCCCGCGAATTCCCAGGAGGCATTCTCCTCTTCCTCCTCAGTTTCTCCCTCTCTCCCTCTCTCCCTCTCTCCCTCCCCTCCTCCTCCTCCTCCTCCTGATCCTCCGCCTCCTCCTCCTCCCCCTCCTCCTCCCCTTCCTCCATGCGCGGCAGGAGCGAAACGATTGGCGGTGCAACGCGCGCGGCTGGAATGAGACGCGGCGCGCTTCGTGCGCCTGACACGTTGGCGCCGACGATGCAACATGAGAGGCCGGAGCGGGGCGCGGCGTACATCGCGCGCGGTCTTGTTTCTCGTCGACGTTGCTCAACGCGCGGCAGGAATAGGACGCAGCTCATGTCGTGGGCTGAGCGTCTAGCCGCCCACGATATAATATGAACGACAGGCGTCGGACGCGACGCACTTGCTTCTTATGTTGCGGGAGGGCGGGTGGGAGTGGTCGGAACCCTCTGGCTCGTTCGAGTTGGCTAACTTGACCCCCCCGCACCCCCCCCCCGCACCCCCTCTCGCCACTCGGGGGGAAGGGATCCAAGGGAAGTGGCTTCGTTTTCGAGTAAACTACGACGTTGCTCAGATTGGCTTCCCCCCCGTGTCCGGGGGGGGCAGGTTGGCTCCCCCCCCGGGTCGCGGCTGCTCCCTTCGCCCGGGGAGAGTCGACCGTTCCCCATTTTGGAGCCGACGTGGCGGTGCCGCGGGCAGCTCCCCTCCCCCGAGGGGAGCCGACCATCCGTTCTGGAGCCGACGTGACGATCCCGTGGGCGACGACGACCCACGCAAGATGACGAGACCAGGATACGCTTTCCACGCGCCGACAGGGTCGGCGGATTTCTGTCTTTGGGGACCTCTTGGGAGGCATCTTGGAAACCTCGTGGGCCGTCTTGGCGGCCTCTTGGGCCGTTTTGAGGCCATTTTGGGAGGTTTGGGGCGATTTGGAGGCGTCTCCTGCCCTTCTTGGGTTCGTTTCGGAGCGTTCTTGGGCCCGTGCGTGTGGCCGCCTCCTGGGCCGTCTTGGAGCCGTCTTGGGCCATCGTGGGGCCATTTGGGGGGCCTCTTGGGCTGTGGTGGGGCGGTGTTGGAGGCCTCTTGGGCCATATTAGGGCGTCGGAAAGCCGAACAGGCGAGAAGGCTGAAAACTTCAAAAGCCCTAAGGAAAATCAAACATTTTGTCGCGTGGGGATCTTGGGAGGCCTCGTGGAAGCCTCTTGGGCCGTCTTGGCGGCCTTTTGGGCCGTCTTGAAACCATCTTGGGCGGCTTGGGGCGATTTGGGTGTGTCTCTGGCCCCTCTTGGGGCCGTCTTGGGGTGTTTTTGGGCCGGCTTGGGCGCCTCTTGGGCCATCTTGGTGCCCTCTTGGGCCGTCTTGGGGCCGTCTTGGGCTCTTTTGGGCCGATCTTGGGGGCGTGTAGGGCCGTCCGGGGATGATGTTGGAGGCCTCTGGGGCAGTTCTGGACGCTGTGAACCCCCAAGCGTCGCACATGCGAAAAATGTACGTTTTCCGAAGGAAATGGGACGATTTTTGCTTGTTGGGGCCCTCTTGGAGAGCCTCTTGAGGCGTTCTTGGGGCTTTTTCGCGGCCTCGGCGCCCTCCTGGCGCGCTCCTGGAGCGCACTGGGGGAGTCAGCCAGTCACCGCCCGGGCATCGGCCGGGGTACTTTTCGTCCAGGGGTCCCCACGGGCCGCCACGCGCGCACGGACTAGAAGTATTGTTAACCTGTCACCGGAGATCTTGGCACGCCTCTGGCCCGTTGGGCCGGCGAATTTCCACGTCATCGTCCGTCTCGCTCTTCGTCGGCATCCCTCCCCTTTCTCCTGCTCCTTCTCTCCTATCATCATCCTGATCCTCCTCATCATCTCCTCCACTCCTTGATCCACCTTCACACCCCGTCCTCGATGCCCTGTCGGGCTCCGTTCCTGCTTCTCGTGTTCTGCCGTAGCCGTTCTGGCTCAAGGTCCCAGCTGAGGGGTCCTTTCTGAGCCGTTCAGCCGTCGCAGAGCACGCACTGAACACTTCATATTTTGGCGCATGTTATCTTCGAGTGCGTTTTTACTTCTGTGCCTGAGTTGTACATACCCCACTTTGTCATTGTCTCTCAACAGATACTCGCCAGGCATCCTGGAGGGGGGATGCGCAGACACTCCAGACCCCCTTCAAGTTGGACTTGGACGGGCCCCGTTCATAGTCAATCCGGATTATGAGAACCAGTCCGGGTTTTTGGAAACGATGGATTTGGCCTTCGGTGCTGCTCATGGATATAACAATTTAGGGGGCCCAAACTGGTTTCCGTCGAAGGAGTCGTTTCTTCTAGAGAGAAGAGTGCCAGCGAAAAAAAAGGCAATGACCATCAATCTTGTTATCAGTCTGACCAACGAAACGCTCCCGCATTGGGCTTACGATATCGTTGATGGAAAATGGGGCGCTGACGTTTCGGTCTCTGCGTACGTCAAAACCCCAGGTCTCAGTCGCAGAGAGAGCGAGGAAGGGAGGGTGTTGAGAGTAAGCGATCGTCTGGAGATGATCGCCATTCCCGATGTCGGGCGAAACGAACATGCTTACGTGTGGCATCTGGCGCGAAAAGCTCCGTCCTTCGCAGACGTTGAGATTTTTACAAAAACCAATGGTGCGAATTGCCACGTCGACGTTCGGGAGGTAATGGTAAAAACCATGGTGGACGTAGCGCGGAACGGCACTTATGGATCTGTGTCCTACCCATGGGAGTATGACCGGCGGTATTTGCAGGTGCGGTGCGACAGCGCATGGGCAGATTTCCCTCTCTACCACGCATTCTGCGAGTCTGGTGCCAAGGGGGTCTTGATCCCCGCGAAGAGTTACAAGAACGGCAGTGTTCCTCTGTATGCAGTAACGTCACGGGTTACAGCTAGCAAAGGCCCAGCCGATCTCAGTTTTGCCTTGAGCCAGTTGAAGCAGCCGCTCCCTTTTATCCAAGAGGCTTAAGCCATTCCACCGACCCCCCCGAGGAGGAGATTCAAGAGGTAAACAACACGCAGATACAACCAGAAGTCGATTCCCAGGGAAAACGGGAAAGTATAGGAAGGGGGGGGAAGACGATACTCCAGAAAATATGGAAGCATAGGGGCAATCCTGGGTTTGGTGTCTGTTAATTTTGCCCCTGGGCCCATTCAAAGATGTGCGGCCTCCGATTCGGTGCAGTGGAAGCCCATGCCAAGAACCACCCTGCTTGCCGCCAGGGTGCCCTGGGTTTCCTAGGTTTCGAGGGTTTTGCTGTGGGAAGCGCGGCGTTCCCACACCAAAGATCAGTGATGGGGCCTCAGGGTTAGTTTTCCTGTGGAAGGTTTCCTGCGGTCGAGCTCCTGCTGCATTTGCTGCTTGTCGTGCAGGCGTTGCTCCGCCCCCTCCTCCGCGCCGCGCCCGCTGCGGGGGCCTCTCGGAGGCCTCTGGGGGGGGGGGGGGCGGGGCGGCCTCTTGGGCGCCACTGGCTGGGGGCGCGGGGCGGCCCGCTGGGGGCGCTGGGGGCCTCGGGGGCCATGCCGTGATCGTCGGCGGGCGAGCGAGCCCGAAGCTCTCGGGCGCTCTCGCCATTTCCCGGCGGCTTGCCGCCCTCGGTGTGCGCTCCACCGGCTGCGCCTCGCCGAGAGCGTCTTGGGGGGCCCAGGCCCTCCCGAGCGCCCACGGGAGAGCCGAGTGGGGACCCGAGCCTGGGGGGGGGGGAATGGAGCAGGAGGAGGCCCTCTCAGAAGGCGGCGGGACGGATCAGAGGCCCTCGCGCCTTCTGAGGAGTTTCGTCCGCGTCTTCAGGGAAGGCTGAGAAAACTTCTCAGACGGCGGCCGGGGCACTTCCAGGCCTTCTGGGAAGGCCCGTCCCTTCTTGCTTCCCCCCCGGGCGCGCCGCCTATGTGAGGGAGGGCTCCCCGGGCCACCTCTTGGGACCCCCTTGGGGGAGTTTGCTTGCCATCCTGGGGGCCTCTTGCGGCAGGTTCGTGCGGCTTTGGCGCGCTGGCGACGTTGGCGAAGGCGTTCAAGGTTGAATTCTGCGACGCGGAAGCACGGAGGGGCACGGTAACGCCACAGGACCCGACGGAATTCAACCTTGAATGATCGGGGCCGCGATCGGTTCAAGGCTGAACGATCGATGCTGTGTCAAAAACCTTCGCGTGCACCGTGCGCCGCCATCGCATGAACCTACCGTAGGCAGTCTTGGGGCCCTCTTCGCTCGTCTCCCGGCTCTCCTTGGGGGCCTCTGGGGCCGTCTTGGGCGGGTCTGGGTGGCCTCGCGGGCCGCCCTCGAATTTGCAGAAACCCCAGAAACGCGAGAGTCATCAACGATGTTGGAATTAACCCTCCCTCCAAGCTCCCTCTTCATAGGCCCATGCAACGGTCCATTTCCCTTGAGGGAACTGTCTCGTTGAAAGACAACAGGTTGAAGATCCTGAAGCGTGCCAAAAAATGGTTCTCGGGATTTCATTGCCACGTATCAACCTGACTGCTGCGTCTTGACGATACACAATCGTGCCAGAACGCCGCTTTTGGGACTTCAACACCGCGAATCAACATAACTGCTGCGCCCGCAAAAACCGGAATCCTTCCAAACACAATTTCTGGTATGTTGATCATGAAAATCCGTGAAACTGTTGCAAATTTAGATAACGAATGTGCGTGGCGCTAAGGCGAGAGCCACATTTTGAAAAGGAACCGCCCTCAATGCGTGAAGCCCTTGCGATGTTTTAAATCGAATGTGCGCTGCGCTAAGGCGAGAGCCACATTTTGAAAACCATCCGCCCTCAATCGGTGAAGCCCTTGCAATGTTTTAAAACTAATGTGCGCGGCGCTAAGGCGAGAGCCACAGGTTGAAAACGACCCGCACTCAATCCGTGAAACTCTTGCAAATGCTTAAACGAAGGTGCGCGGCGCTAAGGCGAGAGCCACATTTTGAAACACTCGCCCTCCATCTGTGAAGATGTTGTCACTTTTAAAGCTTCAGGATCGTAAATGGTGAGGAAGTCTCAGGCGAAACGCCCGGCCCGCCCTAAAAATTGGCCTCGGGGTGCGACAGGGAGGAGTTATCTATAAGGAGAAGGAATGGAGGAGGAGGAGGAGCGAGGAGGAGGAGCGAGGAGGAGCGAGGAGGAGGGGGTCATCTTTGAGCCCTGTTGAAGCTGCTTGGGTTGGGCCGTCTCGAGGCCTCTCCGGCGCGAGGGCGCCCGTCTGGATCCCTCTCGGCGGGCATCTTCGAGGCCACGGGTGGTGGATCTGGAGGCTCCGAGGGCCCCCGAGGTTTGCAGGCGAGCTCCTGCCCCCACCCCCCTGGATCCTGTGGACCCCCGTGGACGGGTGCGCTGCAGGTGTGGCGCCCTTGCCTCCCCCCTCCCTTCTCCCCCTCCCTTCCCCCCCCCTCTTCTGCACTTTTCCGAACTGCCAATTCTCCGTGTTCTGTTCATGTTTCACGTGCTTGTGGTTTGGCTGGTAGGCTGATCGCTCAGCCCATGCCCTGCATAGGGCCGAGCAGCCGACGGGCATGCTCGCGAGGCTCGCTCGCTCTGCGGATGGGGAATGGGGGAGGGGAGCAGCCAGTCATCTCACACGCCTTCTCACCCCTAGCAAGCGCAGGTCGGCGGATTCATGAGACGTACGGTGAGGGCATGTTCTCTGTGCGGCGAGACGTGCTGAACAAGTTTTCTGATAGCTGGTACCGCGACTGGAGGAATATCACTTATGCAGCTAGTTGGGGAGCCGAGTACGATGGCCACCACCACGACCAGGCTATGATGGACACCTTCCCTTTGCTGTTCGCCCGGGCATCCGAAGTTTCGGAGTTTCCCGCGTGGTTCGTGTCTACAAGCACCGTGGACTTGTTCGATCGGGTCGACCTGTTCGAGAAGTTCAAAGGTCAATAGGGCCGACCTGACGAGGAGGGCCAATGGCGCTCTGGCAATGAGGTGTGGGCACGACAGGACGCTCGAGATCGCTCAAACGGTGTCAGAGCAGATGGGGATCTTGCCGCATCGCCGATGCGTCGCGATGCGGTGCGATCCGCAGACCACAGCAAGCTACTCTGGCCCCACTTGGGTGGCCTCCAAAAGCCCCCCCGTGGCCTTGATCGTTTCTGCTGCCAGGTAATAGGCAACTCATTGCCTTCAACGGCATTCCGCTGCCGTGCAGAACTACCAAAATCGGTTGGCCGTGCAGAACTACCAAAATCAGGGTGGCGGGTTGATCATACCCTTATTCAATCGCTTCGCTCACTCCGCCGGCCCGTATTTTTCCATCGCAGGCGTTTGCCTGCGCGTTCGTGGCCTCTTGGGGGCCGTTTGGGGGCCTCTTGGAGCCTTTTGTAGGCCCTTTTCGGGGCCTCGTGGGGCCTCCAGGGGGCCTCCTGGGCTCTCTTGGGGGCCTCCTGGGGGCTGCTTGGGGCGGAAGGCTCGAATCGGTCGGTGGTTCGTGTTCCCGCTCTTGGGGCCGTCTTGGGGCTTTCTTGAGCGATCTTGGGCGCGTCTGGGGCCGTTTTGGGGCTGTCTTGGACCGTCTGGGGACCCTCTTGGGGGCCTCTCGGGCCGTCTTGGGGCGGTCTTGGTGGCTTCTTGGGCCATCCTGGAACGTCGGAAAGCAGAAAAGACGAGAAGGCTAAAAACCGCCAATCAGGAAAATCAATGATTGCTAAGGCCTTCCGGCTGGTGCCGCCGACCCTGGAGGTCTCGGCCTTCGACGGAAATGGGAGGGAGAGGGCGGGCCATGGGCCCCGGGAGGGTGGTATTCTGACCCAGGACCCCCCCTGGGACCCCCTTCCGGGACCCCCCCCCTTCGAGTAAACACCGACGTTGCTCAGATTGGTTTCCCCTCCGCGTCGCGGCCACTCCCCTCCCCCGAAGGGAGCCGCCCAGTTGCCCCCCCCCTCCCCCCCCCTTGCGCATCTGGGTGCGACCCCCCCCCATCCTTACTTCCAATGATTAAACACCCCCACATCCCCACCTAGCCGGCCGATAGCAACCCCGCCGTCCTAACTATCAGAAATCAACACAAACTCTTTTTTTCTCGCCAGCATGTCGTCGAGTTGCGAAAAGTATAGCAATAATGGGACGGAATGAATATCGCTTGGGCAACCCTAAGCGGGTGGTCGCGTCCTACCTATCAACAAAAACAATACAGCGTCAACGTTTTCCTCGTCAACATGGACTTTCTTGTCGTCGACGCTTCGAAAAGTGTAGTAGGAATTGGACGCGGCGCGCATCGCGCGCGGACGCCTGGCCAACCACCCTACGCGGGACCCCCCGTCCTACCTGTCAAAGAACACCGCAACGTCGACGTTTTTCTTGCCAACATGTGTTTTCTCCTCGTCGGCGCTGCGAATCGCGTAGCGGGAATGGGACGCGGCGCACATCGCGCGGGGACGCCTGCTCGTCAACATAGATTTTCTTGTGGTCGACGCTGCGGCCCGTCGGGTTGAGGAGCTGGGCGGGCTGCAAGTCATAATAATTCAAGCAAGTGCTTCAGGAGACCCCCAGGAGGGCGAAAAAAGGCGTCCAGGAGGTCCTGGGGGGGCAACACAAGTATTGATTTGCCCTTGGTGTTTGAAGAACTGTGAGGTTAACACCTACTTGTGTTGGCAATGTTCCAACCCAGAAGATGTATCCAACAGGCCCTCAGGCGCATGCCAGAAAGCTCCCCGGGCGCCCCGCGAATTCCCAGGAGGCATTCTCCTCTTCCTCCTCAGTTTCTCCCTCTCTCCCTCTCTCCCTCTCTCCCTCCCCTCCTCCTCCTCCTCCTCCTGATCCTCCGCCTCCTCCTCCTCCCCCTCCTCCTCCCCTTCCTCCATGCGCGGCAGGAGCGAAACGATTGGCGGTGCAACGCGCGCGGCTGGAATGAGACGCGGCGCGCTTCGTGCGCCTGACACGTTGGCGCCGACGATGCAACATGAGAGGCCGGAGCGGGGCGCGGCGTACATCGCGCGCGGTCTTGTTTCTCGTCGACGTTGCTCAACGCGCGGCAGGAATAGGACGCAGCTCGTGTCGTGCGGTGAACGTCTAGCCGCCCACGATATAATATGAGCGACAGGCGTCGGACGCGACGCACTTGCTTCTTATGTTGTGAACCCTCTGGCTCGTTCGAGTTGGCTAACTTGACCCCCCCCGCACCCCCTCTCGCCATTCGGGGGGGGCCGCCCCCGGTCGCCATGGAGAAGTGGCGGTCGCAGTGCCATTTGCCACCTATGTTGTGCCTGCCATGTCGTGCGCACTGCAGCCCAGTAGGGAGCGTCCAAGAGCAAGGCGTTGCCGGAGCGCCGAACTTGAGGGTGTGGTGGCGGCGGCAGTAACGGCGGCCATCTGCGCACGCGGGGCCTTTAGGCAGCACAGAGCAAGGGGGCCCATCGGGGTGGACGAAAGCGCACTTACCACCCATTGCGACTGGCAAGCCGACGATGAGCCAGAGGAACTGGTGAGGACAGGATGGGCTCATGCTGTGGCTGGCCCAGGCGTGCCGAGCCGCGCAGCTTGGGGCGATACCTGGAGAAGCATTCGAGCCGAGACGGCGACAGGCGCAGAGGCGGCAGGGAGGGAAGCGGTTGCAAGCAGGTCAGCAAAGGGTGGGCATAAGTAAGGGAGGACGCACGGGAGGGAGGGCCGCCCAGTTAGATGATGCCACCGGTGGGTGGGAAGACGCGGGGGGAAGTTCCTCTCCCTCGGCCCCCTCTCGTCCTGTGCAGCCTTCTGCTTACCGCTTCTGTGATCTCCCCGACGGGCAGCGCCAGGACCACGGGAGTGTAAAACATTGTGCTTTTGGGCCTGCGAATGGCCTCTCGCCTCTCGTCCGCCCCTCTCTCTGGGAGGCAGTTTTGAAGCCTCTAGGGGGCCGCTTGGGAGCTCTATGGGGGGTCTCTTGGGCCTCTTGGGGGCTCCTCGGGGCCCTCTTGGGCCGTGTATGGCGCCGCTTGGGCCGTCTTGGGGCCGTCTTGGGCCACCTTGGGCGCCACTTGGGCCGTCTTGGGGCCATCTTGGACTCTCTCGGGCCCCTTTTCAGCACTTCTTGGAGTCCTCTTGGGCCGTCTTGGGCGCCCCTGGGGCCGTCCTGGGGCTGTCTCCGCCATCTTTGGGCCCTATTGGGGGCCGTCTTGGGCAATCTTGGAGGTCTCTGGGGCTGTCTTGGACGCTTGGAAAAGGAAAATGTCGAATCTGTTGAAAATGTGCATTTTACGAAGGGAATGTGGCCATTTTTGCTTGATGGAACCCTCATGGGTGAGCCCTCGGACCCTCCCGGAGCCGTCCGGGGGCGTCTTTGGGGCGTATGGGGCCGTCTGGAGAACATCGTGGGCAGCCTGAAAGCCGTCTTGGGTCGTCTCGGGGCCTCCGTAAGCCGTCTTGGGTTTTTTTCTGGGGAGCTCCGACGCCGTGTGGAGCCCCTCCAGGGGCCTTCCGGTGCCGTTTTGGAGCCCCCGGGAGGCTCGGGGAGCCGGGGGCCCACGCAAACCCACAAGGCCTAATTCGGATTTATTTGAATGGATATCCGTCAGGGCTTCGCCCCCTGCCGCCGGCCCCCTCTCTCGGAGAATGGGCCATGGAAGAGCTAAGTCATGAGGCCTTGGCGCTGTCGTGCAGCAGTATCGAAACTTCATGCGAAGCCGATTCGCAATCAGCAAAACCAACTGATCACAAGAGGGGTTACCACACCTGGCGATTGGTAAGACGTGTATGGTTTACGGGCTTGGTTACCACACCTTGCGATTAAAGGGCCGAGGGAGTTCTCGCAGTTTGGGTTACCACGCCTTGCGATGGATGTGCGTGAAGGGTGGCACCGAATTTCAGAAATGTGGCAAATCCCCTGTGTTTTTGGACCCTGACCCCGCGGATCTGCGTGAGGGGTGGCACCGAATTTCAGAAATGTGGCAAATCCCTGTGTTTTTGGACCCTGACCCCGCGGATCTGCGTGAGGGGTGGCACCGAATTTCAGAAATGTGGCAAATCCCTGTGTTTTTGGACCCTGACCCCGCGGATCTGCGTGAGGGGTGGCACCGAATTTCAGAAATGTGGCAAATCCCTTGTGTTTTTGGACCCTGACCCCGCGGATCTGCGTGAGGGGTGGCACCGAATTTCAGAAATGTGGCAAATCCCCTGTGTTTTTGGACCCTGACCCCGCGGATCTGCGTGAGGGGTGGCACCGAATTTCAGAAATGTGGCAAATCCCTTGTGTTTTTGGACCCTGACCCCGCGGATCTGCGTGAGGGGTGGCACCGAATTTCAGAAATGTGGCAAATCCCATGTGTTTTTGGACCCTGACCCCGCGGATCTGCGTGAGGGGTGGCACCGAATTTCAGAAATGTGGCAAATCCCTGTGTTTTTGGACCCTGACCCCGCGGATCTGCGTGAGGGGTGTCGATTTCGAGCCCCCCCAGCAATTCAGACAACGCGCCCAGGGGGTGCTAAAAAGCCGGTTTGGGCCTCCCCCCCCCTCGCGCGGTCAATCAACTAGTTACAGTAACCAGCAATGAAGTCAACTAGTTACAGTAACCAGCAAGAAGCAGAACTGTAACACTGGAAACTACAAGCTACAACTGGCACAGGAAACTGCGAACCTCGCTCCTACAGCCTGGTGGCCCCACAAGGGGGCCGGCGGATGTGTGTGTGTGTGTGTGTGTGTGTGTGTGTGTGTGTGTGTGTGTGTGTGTGTGTGTGTGTGTGTGTGTGTGTTTGACTTGGAAACAGATCTTCAAAACATTTTGCCTGTAGGAGGACATGCCCGACCTGTGGTTCGAGCGCGCAGGGCTGAGTCCAGGGGCCGACGTTCCACCACCACGGCCATAGCCAGGAGGGGGAGGAGGAGGAGGAGGAGGAGGAGGAGGAGGAGGAGGAGGAGGAGGAGGAGGAGGTAGGAGGAGGAGGAGGAGGGAGGATCGGAGGAGGAAGGAGGAGGAGGAGGAGGAGGATGAGGAGGAGGAGGAGGAGGAGGGAAGGAGGAGGAGGAGGAGGAGGAGAGTAGGAGGAGGGAGGAGGAGGAGGAGAGGAGGAGGAGGAGGAGGAGGAGGAGGGCGGAGAGGAGGAGAGGAGGAGGAGGGGAGGAGGAGGAGGAGGAGGAGGAGGAGGAGGAGGGAGGAGGAGGGAGGAGGAGGAGGAGGAGGAGGAGGAGGAGGGAGGAGGAGGAGGAGGAGGGAGCAGGAGGAGGAGGAGGAGGAGGAGGACAAAGAGGCCTCTTCCTGCTGGTGCTCCTCATGACCCGAAGACACGTAGGGCTTGGGGGCAGGAGGACCCAGCAGGCTCACGGGTTCCGATTCGTGGCTTCGGGGCATTGTGGCTGCTCGGCGGCCCCCGCCTTCGTGCCGACGTGCCGTGCAGTGGCGGAGCCGTGCGGTGCCGTGTCGCCGCTTCGCGTTGGGCCTCTGGTGTGAGGTGCCGTGCGGTGCCGTGTAGTGCCGCGTGGTCCGCCTAGACTCCGGGGTGGGACAGCAAGTACCAGGCTCGCAGGCTCGCTACGTCGGAAACGGTGGCCCACGGCCGCCCGTCGCACCCCTATCCATCCCGTCCGGTGCAGGGCCGTGTCCTCCGAGTGGCACTGGCGCTGGGCCGTCCTTGTGTGGCTCGGTCGCGCCCAGCGCCAGCAGCGCTTCGTGTCCACCGCCATCAGTCGGCGCGGCCCCTCGGAGGCTGCATAGGGGTCCTCCCGTTCCTGCTGCTGTTCCTCCTGCTGTTCCTCCTGCTTCTCCTGCTCCTCCTCCTCCTCCTCGCTCTTGTTCTCGTCCTCTGCTTCTTCTCTCTCTCTCTCTCTTCTCCTCCCGCCTCTGCTCCTCTCCCTCCTCCCTTCTCCCCCGTCCTAATTACCTGGGGAGGCGGTGGTGAAGGATCGGCCCAGGAGCCATGGTCGCGTGCCCGGGTCGGGACTCAGGGCCAGGGCCAGGGTCAAGTCGAGCACGTCCCGCAACAGGAGGAATATCCCCAAATAGTCAAGCAATAATCCGTATTTTCATTTTTTCGCCCAAAATCCCCTTGTAGGGTGTAGGGGGACATGCCCGACCTAAGGCTAGGGCCGAGGTCCAGGGCCGAGGCTCGGGTGGAGGTGCGAGGCCACGGGGCCGTTTGTCGGATGTTCTTCTACTCAACAGGAATCCACAAGCTATAGTGCAAGTTCGCCGGGAACTGGAGCCCATTCGAATCTCACTTAGCGCCAAGGAGGGACATGTGAAGGCTTCGGCCCCTGCGCCTTGCTCCCTGCGGGTCGGCCTCCTTGGCCGGACACGGCGCGCCTCGCCTCGTCTCGCCTCCTCCCTCCACCGTGGGACGGTGACCGCGAATGGACGGGCGGCGAGGTCCATGTTCTATCCCGCCGCTACTCCTTTTGTAGCTACGTTGCACATTCCTGCACGCTCCCCTCCTCCTTCCCCCTCGTCGGCCTGGGTCGATGGCTGGGGCCGCGGTGTTGTCTGGCCGCCGGGCAGGGCGGGCTGCGAGTGCTGCCGATGCTGCTTGTGAGCTGGCGGCCCTGCACCCGCGGCCCCCCGCAAGGCGGGGGCCCCAGGCAGAGCGGCGGAGCTGGACGAATCCTCCTGCCGAGTCGATCCGAACCCCCCTCGGCGCCTCCCCCGCCGGCTCAGAGGAGGAGGGGGGGGGAGGGGGGGAGGGAGAGGAGGAGGAGGCGGAGTGCCGCCTCCAGCCGAGCCCGCGATCGGAACGCCCAGGGCTACAGGAAGCAGATCGAGCGGATCATGGCGATGCGGATCCCCGAGGCCGCCGCGGGGGGGTGGCTGTGAGGGCCCTCTGGGAGGATGCTTCCTCAGGCTTCGTCGTCGTTGTCCTCGTCCTCGCGCGCACGACCTCCCGCGCGCGCGGCGGAGGAGGAGGATGAGGAGCAGGAGGAACAGGAGGAGGAGGAGGAGGACGAGGACGAGGAGCAGGAGGAGGAGGAGGAGGAGGAGGAGGAGGAACAGGAACAGGAGCAGCAGGAGAAGGAGGAGGAAGAAGGAGATAAGGAGGGGGGAGGAATGCATGGGGGAGGGGGGGGGGGAGGAGGACCAGTGTAAACCCGAGATTCATCAAAGATATCGCAATGAGCCGTCCCTCCAAGTTCCCTCTTGATTGGCTCCTACACGGGTTCATTTTCACTGAGGGAGATGCCCCGTTGGAAGACAACCGATTGAAAATCCGGAAATGTGCCAGGTTGCCATGCTTGGGGCTTCGATGCCGCTAATCACCGTTGCTGTTGCGTCTTGACGACCCTGAACCGGGCCAGAACACCATTTATGGGACTTCAACACCGCGAGTCAACGTGATTGCTTCGACCTGCCATCCTTACATAGTGCCAAAACGTTATTCCTGGCACGTTAACCATGAGACTACATGAAATTGCTGCGAACTCTTACAGCGAATGTGCGCGGCGCCACGGCGACAGCAACCTTTTGAAAAGGAACCGCTCTCCATCCGTGACATTCTTGTAAACTTTCGACGAGTGTGCGCGGCGTTCAGGCGAGAGCCGCATTTTGAAAACGGACCACCCTCCATCCGTGAAGCTGCTGCAACATTCAAGCTCCAGGATCATAGTTGGTGAGGAACTGTCAGGCGGAAGCTCCAGCCTACCTTGTCGACCGACCTCGGGGTGCTATAGGGAGGAGGTCTCTAGAAAGGAAATAATGGAGGGTGGGGGAGAAGGCGCGGAAAGAAGCAGGAGCAGGATGGGAAGGAGGGTTCGTATGAGTAGGATAAGGAGGGAGCATGGGGACTAGGAGTAGGACGACGGGGAGAAGGACTGGTGAGTGGGAGGGGCAGGACGAGGAGCAGGCTGAAAAGGAGGGCGGGGGGAAGAAAAGGACCAGCAGCAGCCAGAATCAGGAAGGAACGAAACACATATCTTACCAGCTGCATTATGGCAAATCCCGCCGCCGTGCCAGCCCAGCATTCTGAGTGGCGAATGTTCGAGGGGGCGCTGGAGGCCGTCACGAGTGACACATCGTGCCCACAGGCTTGGGGGAGCCGAGATGAGGATGACGATGGCGATGACGGTGATGATGGTGATGCTGATGAGGCTGATAATAATGAAGATGGTCATGATGATGTTGATGATGATGGTTGTGGTGGTGATGATGATGATGATGATGATGAATATTCTGATGATGCTGATGGTTATGATGATGATGATGATGATGATTATGATGATGAGGAGGAGGAGGAAGAGAGGGGATGATTGTGGTTATGCTGATGCTGATAATGATGCTGATGCTGATGCTGATCGGGATGATGATGAGGATGATGATGATGCTGATGCTAATGGTGACGATGATGCTGATGCTGATGCTGATGCTGAGTATGATGATGATGGTATGTATGATGATGGTGGTTGTGATACTGATGATGGTATGTATGATGATGATGGTGATGACGATGGTGATGATGATGCTGGTGGTGGTGATGATGCTGGCGAGGATGACGACCACGACGACGGTGATGAGGATGCTGACTATGATGATGATGATGGTGATGATGATGATGATGATGGTGTTGAACATGATGACGATGCTGATGATGCTGATGATGCTGATGCTGATGCTGCTGATGCTGATGCTGATGATGAAGGTCATATGATCATGATGATGATCATGATGATCATGATGATGATGCTGATGGTGGTGGTGGTGGTGGTGGTGATGGTGATGAGGAGGATGAGGAGGAGGATGCCGAGGATGGTGATGATGGTGATGATGATGATGATGATGATGATGAGGATGATGAGGATGATGAGGGGGATGAGGATGATGAGGGCGATGATGATTCTGAGGATGATGGTGGTGGTGATGATGGTGATGGTAGTGAGGAGGTGGAGGAGGAGGAGCAGGGGGAGGAGGAGGAGGAGGAGGAGGAGGAGGAGGAGGAGGAGGAAGAGGAGCAGGAAGAGGAGGAGGAGGAGGAGGAAGAAGAAGCGAGTCAAACGTGTTACCTTTCGTCTTCACTTCTTGAGGAGCTCCCATAGGACAGTAAGCTCCTTTGACCCGCCTTGCGGCTGTCGTTGCCTCCTGTGCGGCATTCTTAGGAGTCCCGTGGGGCCGTCTTTGAGCCCTCTTATGCCGTCTTAGGGCCCTCTTCGGCAATTTTGGGGGGCTCACTTGGGCCATTTTGGGGCCCTCCCATCTTGGGTTCCTATTGGGGCGTCTTGAGTCGCCTTGGGGCCATCTTGGAGGCTTCTTGGGCCGTCTCGAGCTGACGGAAGCCCCCACAGGCGAGAAAGCGAGCATCCGTCAAAAACCGTTGGACGATGTTCGGTTTGGATTTCTCCGGGCCCTGCTTGGGGTCCTCTTGCAGCACCCCCGGGCACTCCTGGAGGCCTCGCGAGCCGTCTCGAGGCCATCTCGGGCCACACATTGGGTCCATGTGGGCCTCTGCTGCCTGCCTGGGCCGTCTCGGAAGCTCGGAACGCAGAACGCGGAGCCATCTGCTCAGAGCTGTCGTTTTCCCCGCGGCCTTTGTAGAGGGCCTGCGTGCTACAGGCGCGCCTGCCTCCCCTGCAGGGACGCCTGGGGCTCCCGGCGGCGGCGAAGTGTCGTTCGTTCGTTCGCTCGTGGCCTCGGGAGCGCGGACCCATCGCTGCTTCTACGGAGAGGCCGTGGCCTCGGGGAGGGGGGGGGGGAGTCTGCGGCGCTCTGCGGGCAGGGGGGGGTGGTGGCGTCCTGCAGGAGCCGGGGGGCCCCGCTAGAGAGCCATCGGCGTTCGTCCACGCTTCAATGTGCCAGGCAGGGTCAAGCAGTGGCGAAGCGTCGTGGCTCGCCTATAGGCCCACCAAATAATGCTCTAAGAACCTTTTTTATGGTTTCCACGAAATGTTCTTAGAACGTGTCTGGCTGGGACTGCCTTATTTTATCGCATCGGGCTTACGTTCTAAGAACACTGATTTTGTTTTTAGAGAACGTTTTTGGGTTCTAAGAGCATGTCGTGGTAGGCCTACAGAAAAGCCGGGACGGTCGGTCCCTGCTCAACAGGGGGTGCGGTGGCAGATATCGGAGCGCCCGTGCGCGTTTCCGCTTATTTCCGTGATGGAGCGATTGCAGCGTGGTTCACTGACAAAATGTAGCACCCCCCAACGCTTAGGCTGTGGTGCGTCGCTGTTGTTGATGTTTGTTGCTCATGCGGGCCAGAGTTATATCCACATTTACTGCGTCTTGGAGTTTTGGGCTCTCTCCCCCAGAACTGAGGCGCAGCGGATATGTATTAAAATCTGGCCCCCAAAGGCTCGACTGTTATCCATATCCAGTGCGCCTCGGCATTGCGGCACCCCTTCCCGAAAAGTCCAAGACGCTTTGGATATGGCTATGAGTATTGCCCGCAGTTCACCCCCCTCTCCCCCAACTCAAAAATTAAGATTGGCAACGCAGTTCGGTGGTGCAACGTCCGTCGATCGCTTGGGAAATACCTATAGTTCACTCCTCCTTGCCGCGAACAGTAGATTGGGGGGAGGGAGGGACGAGTGTCGAAGCGTGCGTGCGCATACCAGCCCAGAGTTCAAGAAAACAGAACCATGGATTCAGGCGCGTGGATTAGCGACGGGTCCCGTTTCGGTGCCGAATCGGCGCGCTCCGTCGACAATTCGGGCGGCGTTGGCCTCAGGTTCCCAAGGGTACTCTCCCCGATCCACGGGCCTGGCGCCCACGAGCCAGTTCTCGGATCCGTAATCCATGCCAGTGCGTCCGAAACGTGATGCAATATGACGCCGTGTGCGCAGGAGAGTGTCGTGACATGCTGCGCGTGAGAAGGGAACGTTGGCGATCACGTTGTTGCTCACTGTCGCCCGCTCTCCCCCAGGACTCCGGCAAGGGCGCGAAGACAGCCGTGCTTCGCGTTAGAGGGTGGGGACTGCGTACCGCGCTTCGCGCGGCACGAAGCGCGAGATTCTAGCTATCTCTCGCTCTCTCTCTCTCTCTTTCTATCTCTCTTTCTCTTTCTCTCTCTCTCTCTAGCTGTCGGTCTGTCTGTCTGTCTGTCCTTTTGTCGGTATTTTCCTCCCTCTGTCTCTGTTTCTCTCTCTCTCTCTCCCTCTTTGCCTCTCTCATTGTTTATGGTTTGGTATTTTTTCCCTACCTAGGCTCTGCCTAGAAGGGTTCTTACTCTCTGGGCTTCAAGGGGCCAGGCAGTGGAAAGCGCCCCGGGCGGTTCCCCCAGTATCCGCCCCGCGGTTCCCCCAGTTACGTCCCCTTAGCTTAGCGTTGCTTATCTCATCTTAGCTTAGCTTACCTCATCTTAGCTTAGCTTAGCTTCATCCTAGCTCAGGTTTAGCTTAGTTTAGCTTACCTTCATCTTAGCTTCGCTGAGCTTTAGCAGAGCAGAGCAAAGCATAGCATAGCGTAGCATAGCATAGCGCAGCACAGCATGTCATAGCATAGCCCAGCATAGCATAGCATGGCGCAGCATAGCATGGCATAGCATAGCATAGCATAACATAGCGCAGCACAGCACAGCACAGTATAGCACAGCGCAGCATAGCATAGCATAGCAGAGCAGAGCAGAGCATAGCATAGCAGAGCAGCAAAGCAAAGGCAACGCAACAGCAGCGACAGCAAAGCAAAGCACAAGCAACGCAAAGCAAAATCAAGAGCAAAGCAAAATAACGGCAAACCAAAAGCAATGTGCGACAGATGCCGAGCTAGCCTCGATGGCCGGACCGGAGCCCCCGCAAGCAGTGCCTTCCGTAACCATTGCGGTTCAAGTCCGGAGGCCCTGCCACACAGCCGCCCACGCTCATGCATAC